GCAAACATTGCCAGTGACTATGGTTCCTGGGCCTAGAGACAGCAGGGCTTGAAACACAGCTTGAAATCACTGATTCTTAAAGGGAAGAAAAAGGGAAATAAAAAAACCCCTGGAAATATAATGACTCTGTATTGTTTTATCACAAGTAAATTTTGCTGTAATGACTTTTTCTGCTTAGCATTAGTCCCTTTGCCACTACAAGCAGTGGTCACAATCTATTTAAATTCTTCAGGAAAGGTTTGGGACTTCACCATAGCCAAATGCGAGGTAGGCTAACTGATGTTCACTAAAACCATGGAGAGAATTCACTTCATCCAGAAAGAGATAGGATTATGAAATGCTAGAAATTTAAATGTAGCCTGTATTTGTTGATACATACATGCATGTTTTATAAGGAATTTGAACATTATCAGAGTCAAGCTTACAGGATTTCAAATTAAGCTGTGACATTACCCTATATATCCAAGATTGGATGTTCCAGTTGAACCTATGGCAGTGAATAGCTGTACTGATAACAGAGCTCAAAAAAAGATAAATCTGTTCTTTACAGGCACAGGCATTGGCATGGCTCTGGAGGATGAAACCCCCATGAGAAAATGGCCTTTACCTGATAATTCATTGTCCTGCAAATGGAAACTCCTATCTTGCAGGTTTGGAAGCATGTGACAAAAAAAGAGCCTTCCAAAAGTTAAAAAATGTGGTTCTTAAGAATAACTGCATCATGCTACACCGAGAAATTTAGAAGTATGACTTCTCTGCTTAGGGGTCATATGGGAGAAGAGATGGAGTTAGTGTTTATTTGGAACTGTGAACTGCAGTTTTAGGAGATTTTAAAACATCAGAAGCACAGCTTGATCTAATCAAAGACAGCTGTTCCTTTGAGAATAAACATCCTTGCTAGATCAGAAAGCAGAAATTGAAGAGCTGGACAAAAAAAACCAATTGATCCAGTTGAAGAAAACTTTTCATTATAATCAATTGTAATAATTTTACCTTCATTGTGAAAGGCTAAAATGTTTTGGCTTGGTTTTTTCACTCTGCATTGCATTTGAACATAAGTGAAGGGTCATTTCAAGTTAAAAAAATTGAAAAAAGTATTAAAAGCATTTTAAATTACATTTAAGATATGACATTATATACTAAACAAAAACATTTAGTTTTATTAAAAAATACTGTTGGTAAATATTCAGGTCATTTTATTTTAAATGAAGAAGCCTTGTTTAAAAAGAATAACCCTTTTTCTAAAGTAATCTTTTTCCAAAATTTTTTTAAAAAACCTTTGTATTTCACATTTAGTATACACTACTTCATAGTTATAAATATCATTAGGCTTTTAGCAAAATTTGAATACTTTCAAAATTATAATTACCGTTATAATGGTAAATGTTTAGGGATATTTTCAACTGAAATTTAATTTGGAATACAATATTTTAACCAAATTCTTTAGAAATAAAATCTAAATTTGAGTTTAGTAAAATGAAATCAGTCTTGAAATTATGAAATATCTAAGTACAGTTTTAGTTTAACTGTAATCAGAATTTTCCCTCTTAAACTTGCCAATGTAGAAATTCTGAAAAACAGACTTGATTATATTTCTTTCATATTCCAGATCTATGAAAAGAGTGCTGAACTAATGGAATAAGATGGAGTTCCTTAGAGATTTAAAGTTAATCAGTGCACATGTTATATTTTCAATCTTTATCTAGATACATCCCATTTTAAATTTTATGCCAGGTTAACTATTCAGCAAAACAAAAACTATTCGCATTTCATGACTGTATTCAAGAAGTAAGTTAATTTAACATAAAATCATACTTAAAACTTTCATTCTAAACTAAAATCTTCTTTTAGTGATAGCCTTGTGTCTTAACTGGAATTTCAGGATGATAGCCACGGAAGTGGCAGAGTACAGCAAAGCTGTGAAATTTCTTGCATAGCTGTCATGTTTGGGTCCCTGAATTATCATACCACAAAAATAACATGACCTTTTTTATAAAACCATGGGAGAGCCTTCTAAATGCTGTGGAAAATCACAGCTGTAGCCATACCACATCAGGCAGGTCAGGTCTCCTGCACTGATGATAAATATACACCCCCATGTTTCCTCAGAAGGACAGTTACCACACTTCTCCCCTAAAGTTCAGGAAGGTTTCTGCATTGAGATCATTCTATCCTCCCAGATGTGAGAACCAGCAGTGACAGAGTGATGTCAGCAGGAGGTGGTTTTTAGCAATATCAGGACAGCAGGCCAAGCTCCCTCCTAGCGTAATTCCATTAGCCAGCATTATTTTGCCTTCCATTTAAAACAGAATTGGCCCTGTCACCATGCTTTCCAGGCAATGCTGCTGCAAGTTCATGTAGAGACCAGAAAAGGAGAAGATGAAAAGAAAAATAAGCAATAAATATACAAATCATTGAAGTGATCACCTAAATAAATTCAAGACTGTGATACAGAAAGATGACACTGCCAAGGAAAAGACAAACAATGTCAGAGAAACTCAAAAGGCATCCTGGTACTTTGCTTTTATTTCCTTTACATGTGTAAAGAATGCTAAATACTTTAGCATACTCAAAAAACTTATTTTTTAGAAGAAAATTTCTTCTCAGATGCCCATAAAACCTGCTAGATCTACTTGAAAGCAATTCAAGATAAAAGGGACAAGGAATGGAAGGAGTCCTGGTTTTTCTCCTCCCAGTCAATAGCCAGCGCAGTACAATAAGGAATTTATTTCTGGTCTCTGCCCATATTTCCAGAGTGCAGTGGGGAACTGCTGACATGCGTTACATCACATCAGCTTCACCACCAGTGAGACTGAGACACACTGCTTGCCAGGATTACCCTGCCTGCAGCTTACAGGTAACATATGGTACCTGGGAGCATGATTAAAGACACAACCAGCACCAAAACTCAAAGATGGGAATAAAAGCATTCCTGGCAATGCCTTGTCAAGACTTGAGTAGTTTGTGGTGCTGTGGATGGACACTGAGAGCCTTTCAGCCACACAGAGATGCAGGCTCACACCTTGGCATATTGCTGAGTGCTTTACCTGCTGTCACTGTAACTGCAGTAAATAGGAGAATGAGCAGCATTTTCTTCAGAACAGTGGGTGATAAACCACTAATTGTGTGCTCTTTTCGAATGATCTTTTTTTCAGGGTAAGGATGTGTTCAGCTGCAGTTTTCTACTTTTAGATTTCATATCCCTTCCCATTGCTTAAATTTCCTACTGCTTGCAAGAATTCTCATTTTACCATGTAAAGAAGTATTTCTACATCCTCGTACTCCCTCAAAGTTTGCAGGTTGGCTGCATGCTCTCCTTTTACCTCTAACAGTCATCACTTAACCAATAAAATCTCCCAGTTCCATTTTCCCCAAAAATAATCCTTCTCTGAACTATTGGTTTGATTTTAGTCATCAGATTCCCTGAAATGTTTCATGCAACCTAGGTCAATCTCTTCAATAAAAAAATCTTAATTGCATTTCTACATGCCACTGAACCCATACCTTTTGAATAATTTTACTTTTTTAAAACCCAACAAAAAATTCTTCAGCTGAAATTTTCCAACTAGAGGAGAAGCTGAAAGAACATAGTAAATAAAATTTCAAGTAATTATAGGGTGGAACCTTTACAGGAACTACAGGCATGAGAAAACCACCAAATACATGAGCTGGTATCTGCTACAGAGCACTGAATGCCTACATCTGGGAAAAGATCAGTTTAGGCACCCTGCTGTATTCGTGCTTCTCTGCAGTATAATTAAGCACAAAAGCCATGACAGCCTTAATCAGATGATTGCAGCAAATTTAGGTATGGCCCTGCTTAAGGGAAATCCTGTTAGCAATGATTCTTTAACAGAGAAAGAAACTAAAGAGACTTAGGCATAATTATCCATACTGAAGTGAGTGGAGTTCACAGATCAATACAATTGCCAAGCAAAATATATATTTTGATCTGCCTTTTTGATGGAGTCTCCTGTGAACAGATGTATGCATTGCAATTGCAAGCTACAATGGCAGTGGTGTTCATCCAGGGCTGGACTCCCCCTCGCCTCTCAGCTGTGGATGTTTCTCTCCCTTCCTGTGCACGGTTTCCTGCAGCCCTGCTAGGGCACAGCCTCAGTAATGCTGCCCCCAAGCCCAGACAAACAGTCCTGGAGCAGCTGCCTTCCCACCCACCACTTGGACCAGCAGCAGAGTGCCCAGCTTCCCACTGCTCCTGCTCTGGCACAGTAAGATGGTCAGGCAGGAAAATTGTTTTTCTGCTGCTCAAGGAGAAATTTGGTAAGCTCAGACTCCAGAATATTTCAGAGGCATAACCAATCATCTGGTTTATTTACATAATTTCCTTACCCAATTTCTCCATCCTAAAGTTTCCTTTCATTGCATGTGGGGGGAGAAAAAATGACACCAAACCCAGAACTCTAGCCCAAGTAAGAGTTGCAGCTTGGCAAGTACATGACAGGAAAGATAATCTTGTCCTAACATCGCTCACCTTGGCAGACCACAGGACCTTCTTTTCCCCTACCAGTGACCAGCCATGTCCTCCAACATCCCTTTGTGCTTTTATGTTATTATTAGGATTCAGATGGATGAATTCAATGATCCCAACGTATTTAGTCATCGCCTTTAGCTGTAAGCAGTTCTGATTGAAACCTTTTTTTTTAAAAACAAAAAAGGTTTTTTCAATGTTCTCCACTCCTTCCCATCAGTCACTTGCAGATTCATAAGAATTCAATTGTTTGTCTCTCTAATTCAGTTCAAGTATTTTTGCTGAGTCTTGGATGAAACAGCAGTACAACAAGACTAAAAGGGAAGATAGACTCCCAATATTGATCCATTTTTCTGATGTTTAAGAACCAAGCAGGGACTCAGAAGAAATTTCACAAAGTCTCACTCTTGCCAACAGTCTGTGGATAGAAAACAATACATTTCTGAGCACTCCGGGTGAAGAATCTTTCACATTTAGAATGGGTACCTCAAGCACTGGCAGTTACACTTACATTTCCAGTTGTGAATAAAAACAAAGTGTTCCTAGGGGAGAAGTACCAGGCACTGAAGACAAATTCATCAGCACAGAAAAGTGCCTAGTGAGAGCAGGTACAGAACTGTACTTCTCTTCTGAGAAGAGCCCAGCTCCCTTAGCAAGCTGAACACCTACGAGGAGCAGAGGACTTTGTCAGATGGCTCTGGCTGTGTTTGTTAGGGCAAGCAGCATGAGGGAGAAGATGCAGGAAAGATGAAAGGTGAGGGCTGCACAGTTTCCAAAGGACAGAACTACAATGTTAGCTGCATTTGGTAAGCAAATGGAGCAAGCAAGGGGGCAGGGAGCAGACCTCATAGAATCATAGAATCAACTGGGTTGGAAAACATCACTGAGATCATCAAGTCCAACCCTTGATCCAACACTGCTGTGGTTGCTAGACCATGGCACTAAGTGCCACATCCAGTCTCATCTTAAAAACCTCCTGGGATGGAGAATTCACCACCTCCCTGGGCAGCCCGTTCCAGTATCTGATCACTCTCTCTGTAAAAAATTTCTTCCTAATATTCAACCTAAACCTCCCCTGGCAGAGTTTAAGACCATACCCTCTTGTGCTACTGCTGGTTGCCTGAGAGAAGAGACTCCCACCTGGCTACAACCTCCTTTTAGGGAGTTGTAGAGAGTGATGAGGTCTCCTCTGAGCCTCCTCCAGGCTAAACAACCCCAACTCCCTCAGCCTTTCCTCACAGGACTTGTGCTCAAGTCCATTCACCAGCCTTGTTGGTCTTCTCTGGACCTGATCCAGCACCTCAATGTCCTTCCTGAACTGAGGGGCCCAGAACTGGACACAGTACTCAAGGTGTGGCCTCACCAGCACCGAATACAGGGGAAGAATCACTTCCTTGGTTCTGGTGGTCACACTGTTCCTGATCCAGGCCAGGATGCCATTGGCCTTCTTGGCCACCTGGGCACACTGCCGGCTCACATTCAGCTTTATTTCAATCCAAACTCAACGTGAAAGAGCACTACCTGTTGCACAGGAACACTTCTCCCGCTCTCCCTATCCTATCCAGGAGCCATGACCCCTCTGCCCAGGCAGCCATAAGGAGACCAGCAGGCTGCAGAACCAGATGAAGGAGGAAGGTACAATGTCCCACTTGCTTTACAACAAAGACAAGAGGCTGCGAGTCTGTCAGGCTTAAGGACCTTACTGCAGGATAAAACACTGCTGGCATTCAGGAGCTTGATCTAGCTCATGATGTTTAAATGTAATCTTTGCCATCCAGTGATGAAGAGAAGGTAAAGCAGTTCCAGTACAAATCTTTCTGTACCCAGCAGAGAAGGAGAGGGAGATATGGTTTGGACTAAACAGCTGGTAGTAATCTTTAAATATTTGTCAGCTACCACTGTTGTCTCCTGGATTTTCAGTTGCAGCTGTTGCAACCAGCAGTACCATCTGCCTTGAAAAGTCTGGCCAAGATCCTGCTCATTTTGTTGACTTTTTGCATGTAATTTTTTTTTCCTCCTTGATTTTTCTTACCCATTCCTCTGACAGAGGCTTGTGGTTCTCCCTCCTCCTCACAATGAGAGCAGATTCTGCAGCATCCTCCCCTCAGGAAGGAATAGAATTGCTGCAGCCACCTGTCCTTTACAGTCTCTCATTTTAGCTCTGAAACCAAGTTACTGTTTCACAGACCCTGTTTGCCTTTCAGTGGCTGTCCTTGTGGCTCCCCTCCAGCACACAACATCAGTTTGGAGGGATTTTCTATTTGCTTTCTTTCCCTCTGAGCAGCTCATGCTGGTGAAGTCATTTGCCCAAACCAAAAGAACTGCTACCCCAAAACCACTGTAAATTTCCGTAATCCCTTCCCTAGGGAGCACTGACCAGCATCCAGGCAGGACAAAAAGACAAAAGAGTCTGGTCTCACATGGCTGCAACACGGATTTGCAAAAGAAGGTATTATCTCGTTATTTCAACGTGGAGGAAAGAATACAAGACCCTGACTGAGACAGCTGGGATTGTCATGTAATGCCATCATTACATTGTCCTTCCAGAAATAAGGCTCACTGTAGGCTATGGAGATAAGTGGTCACTGTGGCATACACATAATCACATTGATCCAGAAAGTTGTGCAAGTGTGAGTTTAATGCTTCTGAGAACCAGGTGTGACATTGCTCAGAACAAAATCCTTTCTACATCAGAGGCAGATATGTCCTGGGCATATCTGTCCTGTGATGTGATCAGAGCTCTCACCCTGACTTTGGTCCATCTGCTAGGGGGAACAAAACCAATCTGAACTCCACATCACTGGAATGTCAGTACTCGTTACCTCCAAGAGATAGATCTAGTGACAGTAATTTTAAGAAAGTCACAAAGAAGCTGTTCATTATTTTACTGGGACATTCAGGTTGAGTTTTAAAACACAAAGAACCGATTTTTAGACTCAGCATTAAAAAAAAAAAAATTAAATGGGACAAGATCAACATTCAGGGGAAGGGAAAAAATAATCATACGTCATAAAATCCCCTCAAACTCATGACGCTAAAAGCACTCAGATGCAATAGTCCATCATAAAAATTCCATCAGATTTAGGAGCCTGGGGCTCCAGTTTTAGTTTCACAGTAATGAAGTAATCTCTGGCTAACCTGAAATGAACATTTCTGATCGCATTCCCAAGTTATCAGCTGTGTGCTACCATAAAAGCTACAATGAAAAATTCAGAACTAATCCTAATAGAGCAGTAGCTAGAAATGGCAGCAGGCATGCCCAACTACCACTTTCATTTATAAGTAACCAAGATAATGTGAAAAAGCCTCCAGACCACATGTGGACATGACTGATAGGAAAACTAAGTTACTGATTCATCCTTGCTACTTTTGATTATGATAGGTTGTGTGCACTGTTGACACATGTACTGAAAATATTTCAACTTTGAAGAGAAAAGATCTAGTTTGTAGCTTCCAAAGCAAGAATCATCTATTCACAACCATGTTCTGGGTGAGGAAAGCAAAGAGCCCCTGAAATTGTACTGAGCAAACACACAGAGCTTTGTGGGACTTAGCACCTGCACTTCTTTAAGAAGAGGGCAGGTTGCTAACTTTCCATCCAATAGGAAGGCAGGTAGGAGACAACAGCATCTTCCCTGGAAACCTTTGCCCTGTCATAGTTGTAGGAAGGAATTCCCACTGCTTTGGATGGGCATTACAAGGGTTTTTTCTCTAAGCATAAGGTGGTATCACCTGGAAGAGGGCTGTAGACAAATAATTACCTTGATGGAGTGGCTTTGTAAAGACCAATAAGAGCTTTGGGAATAATGTTGCTGAATTACATAAGGCTCAGAGACAAAAAGGTATGCAAGCTAAGATCTTCCAGGGATCCAGGTAACCCTCAAACCTACTGTAACCTGGCTGAAGCTGTAAGAAATGCACCAGGGATTAATATAGCCTGCTCATATAAAAAAACACAGGATAAATGGAAAAACATAGATTTTTCAGGGGTCGCTCCCTTCACAAGACACCATTTATACAATAGTTTTGAGATTTATTTTTTTTGACCTTCACTAGAGGAAGGCAAGCAACTTGTCCTACACATGCAGAAGATTTTTTCTGAGGCACTATCTGAACTAGGGAGATATAAACCTCCAGGTTTTTCTGCATTTTAGAGGTGTTTTTCCAGCTATTAAAAGGACTCGTTTCTGAGTGACAATGAGATGACTGTTTTTTGTCTTTATCTTCCCCCTGTGACTTCCCATATGGTCTCTTCTCAGCAAAAATCTGCAAGGTGGGAATGAGCATAAGCTCTTCTGTGCAGCTGCTGCTTTGGGGCCCTGACAAGAGCAGGTATCCAGACGCAACAGAGGCACAGTCCTGCTCCTGCGGGTGCTGTGCACTTACAGCTGCCATGTCTCATGGCACTGATGCGTATAAAATAGCACAGAGAACTACATCACTGCACTGCTTCCCCCGTACCTCTGTCCTGTTGCACTTTTTCACGAGTGTGGAACACCAGTATGAAACAAGGTAGTAGTGCTGAGGAGTTTTCCTCCACAACCAGGAATGAGAGTCTAGGCTCACAGCCTCACTCAGAGAGGTTGAATTTTATTCCTATCCCTTGACATAGAGTTATAGACTTGTTTGGGTTAAAAGGGGCCTTTAAGGATCATCTAGTCACAGCCCTTCTGCCATGGGCAAGGACATCTTTCCCTAGGTCAGGGCCCTGTCCAACCTGACCTTATACACTTCCAATGGTGATAGGACATCTACAGCTTCTAGGCATCTCATGTTAATGGTAACTGCAAGTGAATACTTGCCTCTGTTGCCTGCGTATTGTGACAAGTTTAGAATTAGGGCTGCACAGAAGAAGGAAGTAGTATCACAAAATATTTTGGTGTTTGGTTTAGTTCCATATTGCAGTCGCAGTTGCACAGCAAGAAAGCATTTCGAAATTACAAAGACACCCCAGACCCAAAGCAGGTCAGCTGTCTGGGTGCACCAGGGTTCTAAATTGTGGGGGGTTCGCATCCTTCTATTTCTGAGGCTATTCCACAGAGCCTCTTCCTGAGTCCTTGATCAGGGAAGTCTGAGGTGGCCAAAACCAAAACCAGACATGGTCAAGCTGGCGTAAAGGTAGTCAGGTTTTGCCACCACCCAACTTTGTCTCCCTTGAAACTTTATCCAAATCAAAAGGTGTCTTTGAAAGGCTTATTTCAATAGAGCAACAGATCTTAGCCAACATCTCCCAGAAAGTTTTGTGCCTAGCTCCAGCCATGCTTGGTGACAGCCTCCTCCATGTCATATCATCAAGTCACTGGCTGTCACATCTCCTGCTGTCTTGTTAACACTGTTCTCTTCTCATGTAGGGCTGAAGTGGCATTAACTTTCTGGATGGATTGTTTCCACCTAACATATGACAGAGAGCTGTCAGTACAGATTCAGCTGAGAAAGTCCCTGGGGATCACTGTCAATTCAGAGACCACAACCCTAAGAAAGTTTGTTTGTATGTGGAGAATCTGATTTATATCCCTAATACTGTAAGGTATCTGCACCTTTAATCATGATTGCTTTTACCAACTCAAATATTTTTAAAAGAAAACAAGTAATTAAATAAAAGCAGCCTGCTATCAGGAACCACTGAATAATTTTTAAACAGTCACCAAAACTTAAACTGATACTGACACGTCTCTCAGATATTTACAGGAGAGAGAAATTCATATAAAATGTGCTTTGAAAAGTACTTATAAGGGCAAGCTAAGAGACGGAGAATCTAAAACACAGAAACATTTTATGGAACCCCAAGTGGGTTTAAAACTATTTCCAGTACCCTC